TTTATTTTGAGCATCTAGTTTTTTTTTAAGAGGCAGTTAATTTGATGATTTCCTCTTTAGCATAACAATGGAGGACACATTTGGTGCTCTGATACCAATTGTAAAACGACGATCTAGGTATCATTCCAAATCAGTAGATTAGTGCGCAATCTCAATCAAGTGAATGTCATAAATCATAAATATTGAATAAGAACACAGTGATGAATCTTCAATGCACACTATATTAATCAATATTCTAGTACATCAGACTTTCTATGTCTCTCAGTTCTCTTCTTCTCTCTCAAAACTCAAAATCGGCAAATTAGAATGACCAACCTAGAACATGGCTGAATCTGTACAATATATATATATATATATATATATATATATATATATATATATATATATATATATATATATATATATAGATTTATATACCTAAACCTAAATACAAAAGCCCAACCGAAACCATTTAAGTGATTTCGGTCCAAACACTACCGAATTCATGGTGTTTTCGGTCCTAGACCGAGAACTCTAAAAGCTATGTAAAGCAACGTAAAAATCACAAATCATGTCCTAACATATTGTGATGATAATGTAAGAAAAAACAAACGTAATTCTTGATCCCTAAAATAATTGTTTTGTTCTTATCCATGCTTTAAAAAGAAACCATAGAATCTTTTAACTTGTTTTTGATATGGGGAAGATGACATTTAGGTAGTGTTTGTTTTTTGTCTGCAGATCTGCGAGACCTCTTCTGTCTGCACCGTGCAGACCACGCGCAGACATTAGTCTTCGCAGACTGTTTGTTTTTTTGAAGACTGCAGACCTAAAAATGTCTGCGCGCCCTCTTCTTGGCGCAGATGTGGACTAGAGTCTTCTAACATCTTCAGACATCTTCTAGCCTAAAAAAACATATATATCTTTATTTTTTTAAGTTTTTTTTCAATTTATATTTTTTCCAACTTTATTAATGATAAACAGTTTGAAAAAAAAATTACAAAACTTAAAAAAAACATTTGACGATACAAATATGATATTTTTAACAAATTTATAAATAAAAATTTATTATAATAATAGTCGTTCAAGTTGTTTATATAAATATGAATAAAAAATCATAATATATTCTTATATTTTTTTGCCAAAATTTTGTAAAACTTTATTTAATAGAGTATCATCTGTTTCTCGAGAAAATATTTATCGTACGTTTTTAATAGATTTTAATTGAAAAAATCGAAGTTTATTTCCATCTATTTATGTATCAAATTCTTTGATCACTAATTATAATGTTTAGTTATAACTTTACAATCAAAGTTGTTCGTTTTAATCAAATATGTATGTAAATTAATACCATTTAATACATAAAAGTTGATCTAGATTCGTTATATATTTATAATAAAGTCGTAAAAATATATAAAAAAATCGTTTTGAAGTTTTAAAAAATCAGTTTATTTAGATTTCAGTTTATTTTAATAGCCCGTAGATGTTAAAAAAACAAACAGTCTTCTTTTTTCAGACTGCAGACGTTTGGTCCACCTCTTCTACTGCAGAGGTCTACAGATGTGGTACGCAGACTGCAGACATTTTATCTCAGAAAAAACAAACAGCACCTTAGTATTTTGGTTTGAAAAACAACAAACCATTCAATTATTTTAGCTCAAAAGTCATCAATGTAAGAGTTTGATCACAAAATTAAGGCATGTTATGGGGTAAGTTGAGTTGATCTGAAAATATTCTTAATGTGTGATTGGTGTAAGCAGTTAAAAGACGGAAAAGCAAGCGCTTCTTGATTTATGGTTTTTTAATTACAAAAAAGAACGTTAGTAACAAATATGAAATTTATACACACACATACAAACACACACACACGAAATTTATACACACACATACAGAGAGAGAGAGGGCCCTTATATTTATTTAATATTTAAATGAAAAAAAGTATAATAAACACAATTTTATCATTTCAATTTGAGTAGAGAACAAATTCATAATGCTAAAAATATGAACCAATCCAAAAAATTATTCTTTGGGCCAAATCTCAAAATATTAAAAAACAAATAAAATATAATAATAATAATAATAATAATAATAATAATAATACCACACGACGAGTTTTGTCTAAAATTAAATTTGGTACCAAATTGATAACAAAAATGAAAATTTACAAAACATTAAACGAGTTATATATAAAGGACATGAATTTTTAACCATAATGGTGTTTTAAAAAATCTTATTTACCTAATAGGTGTACTTTTAAACATATTTACTAAAAAGGGTTTTTTTTAGTAGTTTAGTAAAAAACAAAAAAAAAAAAAAAAAAGGCATCGTGCCCCAACTCTCATTCTTGGAACGTCTCTCTAATCGGAATGATTGAAAGACCGCTGCGACACCAAACTCCGGCCAGGCCTTCATCTCCGGTGATTCCACTCAAGGTGGAGAGACTGTCGGCCACTCCATTCCGGTGTTCGGCGACGATTCTAGCACTAGTAAGATTTTTGATTTACATCACAGGTTCAATTTTCGAACCATAATCTTTTATCATTTCAATTTTTTGAAGTATAAAAACAATTCTTTTTCATCTCAGTTTGATTTTTTAACCATCAGTTCGATTGATGTATTTAATTTTCAATTATAGTTTTGTTAGTTGATTGCTTCTCTGCTTTGGTTAATTAAAACTTTTGATTCCAAATGTAATACATTTTATCATAGGTATGATTTCTTGTCTATATTTGTGAGTTCCATTTTTTAAGCATCAGTTCGATTTATGTATTTAATCTTCCATCATAATTTTATTAGTTGATTGTTTATCTGCTTTGATTAATTGAAACTTTTGATTCCAAATGTAATAGATTCTATCACATTATGATTTCTTGTCTACATTGTTAGTACTGAAATTTCTTCTTAATGCAATTAGATTTGATTCCATCATAGTGAAAGAAATTTTCAGTGAATGAAATTAGAATTGCTTGAATATTTTAGTTTGAGTTTATGTTTTGATTTTGTATGGTTATATATATATATATATATATATATATATATATATATATATATATATATATATATATATATATATATATATATATATATATATATATATATATCAGGTGCTATCATCTTCATCTATTTTCTTTTTAATTTTATTTTTCGGTAGATAGATGCTACACTTTATCAAAGAGGAAGAAACAATAAGTTACATGAAGATTGCAAAGATTTTTGTTAGGTGAATGTGTTTTTTTTTTTTTTTGGTTTATGTAGATGAAAAAAAATGGAAGGAAGGGGTTGTTGATCATGAAATATTAAAAAAAAAAAAAAAAAAAAAAAAAAAAAAAAAAAAAAAAAAACTAAATAACCCATTTTGGTAAATAAATTTAAAAATATACCTGTTGGTAAATAAGTTTTCCAAAAACACTTATTTGTCAAAAACTCTAAGGACACGGTCGTGCTACAAATTTGGAATCTTTCTGTAAAGAGACAGTTATATCTCTAGCCTAGGTCTTAGGAATATCCTTTTTCTCAAACCTCTTTCTTTTATACATACAACCAAATAAATAATATTTAGATTAACTTACACTTTTGGCCCCTATGGTCTTCCCAAAATAGCACTTCTGGTCTGAATATTAATATTTAATCATGGGTGGTCCATATGGTGAGTATTGGTATCACACGTGTCCCCTAGGACGGTTACCATTTAACAAGCCTTTGTCGGATTTGAATGACGGAAATGCCTTTGTTTTTTAACCAAATTTACTAATGTTTTTTATAGCCACACATTAATGTTCTTAAATAAAATATAGGATAACCATATGGGTATGGCATCAACCACCTGACAACTTTCATGATTTGAAGAATTTCAATAAAAATTAGGATGGAAGTTGTAACAATTAAACACCATGATTTTTAATTTTGTGTGGGAGATAAAGTAATCAAAATTATGGGGAAATGGAAATAGAACATATGAATCAAATTGTAACTAACGATCTATATAGAAACTACAGAAATTGATGAATATATCATTTCGTGTTCTTCGAAGCTAATGGGTTGCTTCGGAATTAAGCATTAGTAAATCACAAATGGAAAATGCTAATTTAAAACTCGAAACAAAAGTGTCTCTATAATTGTACCTTCAATGTTATGAAAAGAAGAATTTGATAAAGAGTTAGCAACGCCACGGTTCCTTTCTGAACATGTCCGACATACTATTATATAGTTTTAAGTATGCAAAAATAAATTCAATTTTATAATTTATATAAAAATTTGTCGCCCAGAGGAAAAGTGTTTCTTTGTGCTCTATTTTCTCTGTATAAGCTAATCAAACCCAAAACGATGACCAAAACATGTTTTCTTATAAAAACTGAGAAATTATAAATAATAATAATAATAATAATAATAATAAAAGACCAATTTCATCAATGGAGTTTAAAAAAAGCATCGATAATGACCGATTTTACCATGAACTTCAAAAATCCATCAATATTGATGATCATCAATTGTTTAGAAGAATAACAAGACCACCAAATTCAATTGAAAAAAGTAAAAGAGAATCTCAAACCTAGAAGAAATTCATGAATGATCCATCAATGTGACGAATGAAAAATCTAACACAATTATTCACCGTTTCCATTTCTCTTTTTAAAATGTTTAACAACCCCTCCGTTAGGGCCGTTAGAAGGGATGACCACCGGTGTTACCAAAACCCTCCATACAGAGAGTGGTGTTACTTTTCCAAAAATAAGACCAAAACTGTTATAACCAATAAACTATAGGGACCAAGACTAGAATTTACTCTAATACTTAAAATAAAAATACAACTATTATCTATTTACCGAAACCAATTATTGAATACGATACACGTCACATCTTTGTCTATCATGCACAATGGTTTGTGGGACATTCATATTTGTGTGGAGAAATCATTGTGCACGTTAGTGATACATACATGTGGAGAGAAGGGCTGTAAAAGACATGCAAGTCTATCCGCGTCTATAAAAAGGTAATGAATTAGATGTTATATACACATATGAATTTAATTAGCACGTGCTTCATGCTACATTAAGGAGAGATTCAGTAGTATATATTAGAGCTTCTTGGTCTGTATTTATGTACAACATCAAGTACTGAAAAGAGTACAAAGGAAATGAAACCAATTACTACTACTCATGGTTTAGAATTGAGAAAAGGCGCATGGACTCCACATGAAGATACGCTTCTTAAGCAGTGTATTGAGAAATACGGGGAAGGGAAATGGCACCTCGTTCCTCATAGAGCAGGTAGCAAATTCATGTACTCTTTTTTGTGTTTATCTCCTAACTCTTTGTTGCGTTCTTTCAAAAGAAAATATAATACGAACTACGAGTTCTTTTTGTAGGTTTGTTCCTTGTCTAATGTTTTCATGTTATGTTTGTAGGGTTAAACAGATGCAGAAAGAGTTGTAGACTGCGATGGGTGAATTATCTCAGGCCGAATATAAAAAGAGGAAATTTTGGTGAAGATGAAGTTGATCTCATACTCAGGCTTCACAAGCTTTTAGGAAATAGGTAAGCACAATTTCTTACTTACTTAGTTAATTAATAAAAATTAAATAAAATTAGAAGATAAGTTTTAGTTTAATTTTAGATGGTCATTGATTGCTGGGAGAATACCGGGAAGAACGGCTAATGATGTGAAGAACTACTGGAACACAAATATTCACCCTCGTTCGAAACAACAAAAGAAAGAATCTAGTGATGATGATAAACCCATGCAACACATCACAACAACAGTTACTAAGCCAAAACCGCTTGCTATCACGAATACCCTAAACCAGTGCATGGATGACAACCCGCAGATTATGACCCATGGAGAGTGTAGCAGCCTAATAAGAACATCAAATGATGATGATAACAACTTTGATCTATCCTTCGGGTTAAATTTATCACCCACTGTACATGATGACAAGGGTAAGGAGTATTTAGACGACTTATTTGATGACATTGAAATGGAAGACGGCGACTATGGGTGGTTGTTTGGTGGTTCTACGGTGGCAGGAGAGGAATTAAATGTTGTTGAGCAAGAAGATGGCCAAAACCAATTGTTTGAATTTCCATTAATGGATGAAGTTGCGTGGAAGCTTAATGATTAGAATTGCATGTAATTTTTTAAACATCATTTCATGGAAGACACTCGTTCAACACCCTCTTTATAATTACTAAAATTTGTATGTAATGTATTACAATTTAGACATGGATTTATTTATGTTTGATAAATTATCGGAAAACCATCACAAAAATAAAATAAATAAAGAAAATTTGGGTTTTTACTATTGGATGAAGTTGTTTGTTTCTTGGTCATGCTTGTTGTTACATGTCTTGGGTGATGATATAAGTAATATCTTTTAAAAATATTAAAAGAAGAGGTAAAATAGTAATTTAATTTTCAAATACATAACGATTGATTTTTGATGTTGTTAGTGAAGGCAATCACCATATCCGAAACAAAATAAAATGGCAAAGATCTTCCTTACTAATTCATAATTTTGATGACATGAATGAAAATGTAATTTACTCTAAAAATGTTTTAATAGTACTGTCATTTACGGCGAATTATTATTGTAATTATTGGACGATTAAGTAAACTAACCAATATAAATATATATATGGAAAAAAATATCTTTTAGTTGTCAAAATCACCAATAGGTCATGAATAGGGAAATTGCAGACTCTGGATTCAATAGTAAATGTTCCCAAATGTCATTCCGAAATATACATTTAATGATTGCCATTCGAAAGTAGATTCCAAATTCTAGAATAATCGTTATCAAATGTTATTTCGGAGTTTTCATTTGATGATTTTATGATCGTTTATTTATGCTTTAAGTTATGTTTATTTCATTATGTTTTTATGTATTATTTTTGTGTTCATCTATTTATTCTAATTTCAATTAAGGGTCATTTTTTTATGGCTTTTCACATTAAAGTCTTTAATTTTTAGTAATTTTTGTAATTTTTAATTTGTGGCAATGCTTGCCAAGTTTGTTTTTCTCATGTAACCAATAATGATAAACTTCTATGTTACCACAAAATAATATTTGTGATAAAAATTCTTAAGTTTACAATTTTTAAATTTTTTACGATAAATATGTTTTTTTACATAATAAAAGTATTTTGTAGAAAAAATGTATTTATATACGATTTTTTTTAGTTAAACATTATATTAATATGTTTTTAGAAGTATAAATATGTATATTTTGTGTTTTTTTAGAAATATTAATTATTTTGTAAAATATTGATATGTATTTTTACATATCTAAAATTATATTAACTAAAAATGTGTTTCTATGAAAAAAAATATAATTATAGTTCTAAATATATATATTATGTTTCTAAAAAGATATATACTTATAATTCTATAGAAGTAAAAATACGTATTTATATTTATAAAATATAATTACACTTCCCAAAATAATAAAAATACATGTGTATGCTCTAAAAATATGTAAATGTGTTTCTAAAAATACGTATTCATATTTATACTTCAATAGAAGTATAAATACGTATTTATATTTCTAATGAAATAATATTTCTTGAAAACATAAAAAAAAAAAAATTTATATTTATGGTTTGAAAAATAAGTATTTATACTTCTGTAGAACCATAAATATCTATTTTATATTTTTAGAAACATTACTATATTTTTTTTACTAAACATGGTTTTGATATATATACTTCTAGAAACGTGAATATATATATATATATATATATATATATATATATATATATATATATATATAATATTCTAAACAATATATTAATAATTCTAAAAAAAATGTATTTGTATATATCTAAAAAAACATAAAAATATGTATTTATATTTTAAAAAACAAATTTATAAAATATTTGGTTAAAAAACTATATATAAATATGTTTTTTTCTAAATATATATGATATATATATATATATATATATATATATATATATATATATATATATATATATATATACAGGGCTAGGTTATAATGTAGATGGATGTACAAACGTGTGGACAAAGTTATTTTACGAGAATTACTAAGAGAATAGGTTGTTGAGTAATATGAATACGTTCATCCTTACACAACTATCGTCATTTTCGTGCATTTCGCTAATTTTTATTCATTTTTATTCTCACATATTGTTTTACACTAATTTTCATTCTTACAGAATACGATTTAATAAACATTTTAACAGAATGTGAATAATAATAACAAGTCTATAATAACCTTATAGACGATTTAATTGGTGAGAATATGTGACAATGACAATAATTATATAAGATTAAACGTATTCACATTATCAAAGAAAATATTTTCTTTGTCATTCTCATATAATAATATTGTCCACACGTCTGCACAATAGATGTCAATCCATATTTGAACCTATCACTCTATCTCTCTGTGTATATACATACGTGTGTGTATATATATATATATATATATATATATATATATATGTATATATAGGTTTCTTCTCTTTGTGTCGGCCAATCAGAGGTAGTGCGAAGGTTTTGTAGTTCTCAGAGCTTATGGTAGTTGTATTTTTCAATCCATATTAACTCAAAACCTGATGGTGGAGTTAGTATCTAGATTCTTCTAGCATGTTTTCAGTTCGGTCCACTCATTGTCATATTGATGATTTTCGTCCTCCCATAGGCCATAGGTGGCATTGTCACTCTATGGAACATGTGCGTTCCTATTAAGATCAACATTTTTTGTAGCGTTTTTTCTAGATTGCCCTCCTATAAGAAAAAATATGGATAAGTGAGGCACTGATCTTGAATCAATCTTTTTCCATGTTTGTGTGAAGGATATAAAAGATGTTTCCCATCTTTTTTCAAAGCTCATTAGCCTTAGAGTTGTGGAAGTAGGTCACCTTATGGGTAGATTTGGATATCCCTATGTTACATTCACTATTGTAGATGGTAGGTCAAATTCGAAATTGGAATGCATCACGTTGAATTTAGGTTTTTTGACAATTACTTTGGTTCATTGGTCATACCTTAGAAAAAATTTAAAACATTATGCAAACATGTAAATTGCCGATTACAAAAATTAGAAAATATCAATTACATAAAAATAGTTAAAAAAAAAATCAATGGTAAAAAAACCTAATTACATAAAACACCGGTTTTTAGAAGATTTTTTTTAAGTAATCCATGTCATATCATTTTTGAGGGAAGGTTGGCTTTCTTTCTCTTTCTAGTTGTGCTCAAGGTGACACTCAAGCAGACACATGTACGTAGAGTTCGAGAAGGGAAAGGAGTGCTGATAAGAGTCTTGAATGATATAGGTGCAGAGTAGGAAGAAACCGTATAGAAATGCAAATCTTATTACATAGAGAGAGCGATGAAATTAAGGAAAATATATGGGTTAAAATAAAATGATGATTTTGTAAGTTGATTCTATAAAGCCAATTAAAACTGAAATTATGAAAGATCCAGATTGTTCTCGTATTCTCAACATTTTTATTGCTCTTAATTTTACCTACCTACATCTTTCTCTCTATCTGTGTGTGTACATATATATATATATATATATATATATATATATATATATATATATATATATATGAAGATCTATTTTAACCACATGTCAATCTCTTATGAATTTTGATACTTATCATTTTATGATATTTTTGAAATATGTAATATCCACATGTCAATTTTAGGATTTTCAAATTTTTAAAATTAAAAATTTACATTATATTTATATATTTATTTATATATACAAAGTGTTAAATGTAATAATTATGATAGTAATTGTAATTAATACGTTTTTTCATTTCTTATTTCAAAATTTTATTTAAAAAAATACTTAATATTTACATTTTAATATTTAATTTTTTTAATTAATCCGTGAGCATGTGATATGCATGTATGTCTTAGTGTGTAAGTATTTTTGAATTACCAACATGTGTGTTGCTCTTTTTCATTACTTTATCCTTGTGGTTTTTTTGGAAACATATTAGATATAGTGTGATAAAGCAAAATAAATCATATTACTTTCTATTAAATAAGATATTTTAGTTAATATTTTCGAATTTTGATATGGGTCACCAATGTAATATTTATTGTGGATCTGTTAGATTTGAAAAGAAATCATTCTACCTTAAGAAATTTTATATACAAAGTGAGAAATCCTTTTATCTTAAACTATTTATACATAATTTTACAAATAGACAACTTCTTTTAAATTTTTAAGTGTTAATATTTTGAATTGAAAACAATAATAAAAAATGTGAAATGATCATATACAAAGTGAGGACATACAAGTAGTGATTTTAATGCTTAAAGCATTACCATCACCACCACCTTCACCTTTAACTAATTTCTTTAATATATTTTAATTTAAGTGTATTTATATGTATTATTAAAAATATTAATAATAATGAATTTAAAAATTAGTATATTTGTTTATAATAATAATAATAATAATAATAATAATAATAATAATAATAATAATAATAATAACGTTTTTGTTTGCAGAAAAATCCTAATATATTTTTTGCAGAAAAAATCTCAATATTTTAGGTCATTTTATGAAATAGTCCCAATATTTTAGGTTAGTTAATGAAATAGTCCCAAATTAATTTGTTACCGGTTCCAACCGGTCAAAAGGGGTCAAAATGCATACTTTTGCCGGTTTTTAGGATTTTTTCGTAAACAAAAATTAGTTTACGACTAAAACGTAAACCGGGCTAAAATTTTAGGACTTTATTGAAGATTTCCCATCTCTTATACCATTTTATTCTTACAATTTATTTATTAATGAATAGAAAAACACGGTATTAATCATTCATAAATATACCACTGGCTAAAAATCATGGATTCACTAATTTTTGTAATTTTATTTTCTCAACTACTTTTATATTCACAAATGGTTAGTTAGAAGTTTCTCTAATTTTATTTAATTAACCATTTTTATATTTATAAATGAATAATTCAAGATTGTATTCATACATTTATACATTTATATTTATAAATAATGATATTAAATTATCTCATTTTTGTATTATCGCAATATTCATAAATGATTAAACCACTTACCTTATATTCATAAATGATTATATTCATACAATAAATCAGAAATGAATCATACGTTTATATTCGTAACTAATAAAATAGTTGCAAGGAAAAAAATAAAAAAAAATAAATAAATAAAAGTTGCGAAGCAGAATTAGAAATTAAAATAGAGTAAATTTATATATTCATGAATCATGAATCATTTTATTTGTCTAAGGCATATATTGTCTTC